GGAAAATAAAAATAGGTGGGGGGGGGGGAGGGGGGGAGTAAAAAATAAAAAATTTTTAAAAAAAAGTTATAAAAAAAAGTCAAAAATAATAAAATATATAAAAATAAAAAAGTGACAAAGCAAAAAAAAAAAAAATATTAAAACCAACTCCGCTGCCCCTGCCATCTGCATACAAATAAATGCATGCATAGGAAATTGTATGCGTGTTTAGTCCTGCCGCCATTTCACTGTGTGCCATATTGTGGTAGCCATGCAGTAGCTCTCTCACACGCACAATGTGCATTAAAGGGTAAGTTCACTTTCCCAGGTAATACGGGAAAATGGAATTACCCAATCAAATCTGGCCTGGTCTCTCCCACCACGCTGACCAATGAGAAGCGCTATTTAGCACAGTCAAATACAGTTCTGATTAGGGATGCACAGATACAGAGTATTTGGGCGAGTACTTGTACTCGCCCAAATGCTCAGATACCATCTCCAATACTGGAACTTCTGGTCAGAGGATGATTTCCTCCGACCGGCAGTGCCGTAGGGGAACATGGAGCCAGCTTCCCGTGCAATCAGGAAGCGGAGTTAGTGACTAATGACCCGCTTCCCAGTTTCCCGATTGGCCAGGAAGCCAGCTCCTTGCCGATTGGCTGCCAATCAGCATCGACCCGTCCTCCCGGCCAATCAGGTCATTACTCTTCGCCAGGTTTCCTGATTGGCTAGCAAGCTGGCTTGATGCCGATCGGCCGGGAAACCGGCTTCCCAGCCATTCACAATCAAGCCGGCCAAACATGGAGTCGGCTTCCCTGGCAGCTGGGTAGTATCCGATTACCCGGGAAGGCCGCTCCATGCCAACGGAAGCACCGATACTGAAAGCGATAGTGAGTACTGAAAGCAAAATATCGGTACTCATACTCGATACCCAAAAACCGGTATTGGTGCCTCCCTAGTTTTAAACTTTTAAAAATATATTTTTTTTTTGTATTGGGACAAGTAGATTGCTATGAAGGACAAGTAGATTTGACCCCCCCGCTTTAGCCCTTGGACAAGTAGTTTTTTTTCAAAAATTTCCACACCCCTGTTTGTTTCATCAGTGATTAATGGCCCTAAAATGCTTGCTCTCATTGCGACGTTCGTGGCGATATGCAACGTGCGTAGCGCAATTGTCGTTTTCGCGCGCTGGTGCACCGGGCGCTTATTTACGTTCATATGTGCGTAAACGTGGGGGTGGGGGACTTTAATTTTTTTTATATGCGACTATTTTCTCTTTATATACTGTATTTATTTTTTTTTGCACTTATTGCTATTACATAGGGGGCGAACAATCCCCCTATATAATAGCACAGGTACACTGACAGGTCCTCTGGGACCCCTGTCACCTGGGGACCTCAAAAGAAGCTGATGAAGCAGAGATCTGCTTCATCAGCTTTTTTTCGTTTCAAAGTTTTTATTGAGTTTTGACATTAGGTAGGGTACATAATACAGTAAACAATACAGAAGTACAGGTAACTCAGGAACGCGGAGACATTGTCTGTTGTCAAGTGGGTCTCAATTGAGGTCATAAGTGCTCCGGGTTCTTCAAGCCGGAAGTAGATCCCGCTGAAAGAGGGTTGTCTGAATAAGGGAATCCGGAAGGCAGTGTGCCAGGTGGCAAGGGGCAAAGAGGAAAGAAAAAGAAAAGGGGGGGGGAGTGGGTAGGGGTGCACTGGGTCTGACTGGAACGAGCTCTTTTATTTTGGTTGCCTAGAGGGCTATTAGGCTAGCTGGGGTCAGAGAGGGGTGGGCATAGTCTATCCAGGGTTGCCAGATCTTCGCGAATGACTTATTGGTATCCGAGAGGATGCTGGTCAGTTTCTCGTTGAGGCAGAAAAAGTCCATCCGCCGTGTAACTTCCCCAAAGGATACAAATT